CTAATTACTGAGATTTTGTGTGCATATTCATGTGTGTGTACATGCATGTAGATGCCACAGATAGGTTCTGAGTGTCTTTCTCAATTGATTTCTTTTTTTTTTTTTTTTTTTTTGGTTTTTTCGAGACAGGGTTTCTCTGTGGTTTTGGGATAAAACCGGACTCTCTGATCATGGCGAACAATGAGGACTGATGAGAAGCCAAGGTCAATGGCAAGGGGTTTTGATCCTACTTCATGATACGGCTTGGTGGGAGCCTAGCCAGTTTGAATGTTCACCTTCCTAGACATGAACGGAGAGGGGAGGTCCTTGGACTTTCCACAGGACAGGGAACCATGACTGCTCTTTGGATTGGAAAGGGAGGGGGAGAGGAGTGGGGGGAGGGGGAGAAGAGTGGGGGGAGGAAATGGGAGGCTGGGAGGAGGCGGAAACTTTTTTTTCCCATTCTCAATAAAATAAAAAAAAATAAATGAGATCTTCTGAAATGATAAAGCTTCTATAATGCAAATGACATGGTAAATAAGACAAAAACAGCCTACAGAATGGGAAAGAATCTTTGACAACCCCACATCTGACAGTTTTAATCTACAGCATATATAATGAAGTCAAGAAACTAGAAATCAAATACTAAATAATCCTATTTAAAAATGGACTACCTATCTAAAAAGAGTACTCTCAACAGAAGAATCTGAAATGAATCAAAGTCATTTAAGGAATTGTTCAGCGTTCTTAATCATCAGGGAAATGCAAATAAAATCCCTGTGAGATACCATCTGTTACCTGTTAGAATGACTAATTTCAAAAATACTAATGATAGCTTATGGTGAAAAGGATATGGAGTAAGGAATCAGGCCTCCATTGCTGGTTGGAGTGCAAACTTAATCAGCCACCTTGGAAATCAGTATGGTAATTTATCAGAAAAGTTAGATCAATCAACCAAAAGACCTAGGTATACCACTATTAGGAACACACCCAAAGGATGCTCAATCATACCACAAGGACACTTCTTCGGCGATGTTCATGATAGCATTATTCAAAATAGCTAAAACTTCGAAAATACGTAGATGTCCCTCATACAAGGAATGAATAATGAAAATGTGGTATATTTATGCTATGGAGGATTACTAAGTAGAAAAAAAATGACAACACAAAATTTGCAGGCAAATACATGGAACTAAAAAAAAATCATACTGAATTAAGTAACCCTGACTCAGACAAATATGGTATTCATTCACTCATAAGTGGATACTATATGTAAAGAAAAGTATAATCACTACAATCCACAACTCCAGAGATTACTAGGTAACAAAGAGTACCCTAACAGCAAGTGATTTTGAAGAGACAAATCCATTGTCAATATGGAATTTTAAACCTATATGAAAGTTAATGTCATTGAGCCAATCTCTTAACTGTCCTTAAAATTTTGATGGTAATAGAAATGGCAGCTTGAGAGAGAAGAAGGTTCCAAGAAAAGAAAAGAAAAAATTATCAGAATATATTGTATGAAAATATTATTATTCAAAATATTAGTTAAGGAATGAACTTTTAAAAATACTTTATGTGATGGTCTGGAGTGTTGTACACACCTTTAATACAGTAACTAGAGAAGCAGTAATAATAAAATCTCTCATAGTTTAATTCCAAAAGGTCTAGACAGTGAGGGCAAGCCAACCATGGTGACCCTTAAAAAGAAAGGAGGAATGTTAGTTATGTGTTTCTGCATGTGGAGGATATGGTGTGTGTGTGTCTGTGTGTGTGTGCGTGTGTGTGTGTGTGTGTAGAGGTGTATGTTTGGATGAGTGAGATATGTGTTTCTATGATTGAAATTGGGCAAACCGTCACTGACTCCACATCCATCCTTTCATCAGAAGTAACTGAAATTATCCTAGTTTTTATTCTGTCCATGTCATGACCATCATACCTAAGGAACATGGGAAGGTAAAGGTTTCTGTTATCTTAAATGTCATAGTCCATCATGTAGGTATATCTATACATGAAATCAGAACAGGAAACTTAACATAGGAACTGGATTGAAAACCATAAAAAAAAACCCTGTTTATTGGCCTGCCCTCCCAGGTTGTTCAACATGTTTTCTTATACAAACCAGGAATGATTTCCCATGGATGGAACCACCCATCTGTCTAGATCTTCCCCATAAATCATTACTCAAGAAAATGAACGCACAGTCATTCTTCCAGAACAACCTAATGGAGGAAATTTTTCCAAGTGAAGTCCCTTAATCCCTGATGACTATAACTTATATTATGTTCATAGAATTCTAACCACAACACAAATGTACAAGCTGGTACACCATTATAATATAATCCATTAAGTGAGTCTCTGTGTGTATACTAGACATAAGTAAACACATAACTGATAAAAGACTTATGGATAAGAATTTACATATCAAGTAGAATATAATTATATGTAATGAGTGAATTTACCATGAATTCTTAACCTCTACAAATAATTTGCATAGTGCTTTCCTTTCTGGAAGGCATAGAAAAGGGAAACCCAATGAACATGAAAGTGCAGACACAAACTATCTCTGAAGCAACCAAAGCCCAAATTCACCAACATAGTATGAGAGATGCAATACACATTTATTTATGTAATACTCCTTCCCAAGTTTTTGTTCACACAATGAAGATATCAGATAAACATACAATGAAACATGCTGAGAATAATACCTGAAAAATATTCTAACATTCAGAGCAAAGAACATGTGAAACACAGTACTCATAGTGGAAGTGACCATTAGAGCTTGCACAAGATGGCTGATTCCCTAATGTTAAGACCTGTCTCTACCACTGCCACTCTAGTTTAAAAATTATGCACACACAAATAAGGAATTTAAAATGTGAGATCTCCAATTACCAGTAATAGGCACACATTCTCTGAATGCTGATTGATCAGTGTGGGTCCAGCTCTGCACTTTATTTCCCCTATGGTTTGTATTACCAAAACAAGGATGAAAGCTCTACAAACTCTTGTTCTCTATGGTGATCTACAACTCAAGGCACAGGGTTCCAATATTCATAACTGCCTACTTTTCTACTTTTTGTAATGGTTCAGCTTCCCTTCCCTATTTTTCACTTTCATTAAAACATCTCTCAAGACTAGTTGCATACTACTGTGCCTCCTGAAGTTTAATTGACAGCCAAATTTCCCATTTCTTATAAATGCAATAATTATATATAAGAACATGGGTTTTCTGTATTACTGGCTAAAAAAAGAGATAAAAGTACATAGCGAAAGGTAGACTGGCATAAGTCAAGTGGTACTAAAACCAGTCCCTTGATACTATGTTCCAAAATGAGAAAGTGACTAGGTTGAGCCACATGAGGTAGGAACCAAATAAGTCTCTTGGGTATCCTCTCAGATAAACACTTGAAATCACACATAATAATGTTAGTGAACTTCATCTTCACAAGTTATCTTCCAGACAAGTGATGAGAATAAGAATGATTTCACTGACACCAAGTGAATAAATTTTAAGTTGTTTCTTAAAGTAGGGTTACAAATAACTAAGAGGCCCAATTCCATACTAAATTAGTGCTGCAATTTATAGAGATATACAAATGCATTAGGTTATGGTACACTGTTCTGCCTGCACTTCATAAATCTGGACTCACTTAGTGTAAACACTCTTATGTTTTGCTTTCAAGGTCTACACAGTATGATTCATACTGATTCCCACTTGTCAGGGTTTGAAAATACAAACAATAATAAGAAAATGTTCCTGAGTTATCATATTCATTATCTAAGAAACAAAAGTCAAATCTCATTCACCTGAGGGAAGTGGAAACCAAGTCCTGTGGTTTCTTTTATCCTCTCGGGAGCATGTGCCAATGCAAAGCAGCCCACAGACTCACTATAAAAGACCAGGCCCAGCAAAGCATGGCTGTCCTGGTGCTTCTCCTCTGCCTGGTGATGTTTCCAAGTTGTACGTGTTTCAGGGTTTCAGGAGAGGGACCCAGGAATGCCACGTATAAGATGTATGACTGATCATGATGTTGCTTGTCTCCAGGTGCCTTTTCCCAGGTACAGCTGAAGGAGACAGGACCTGGCCTGGTGCAGCCCTCACAGACCCTGTCTCTCACCTGCACTGTCTCTGGGTTCTCATTAACCAGCTATTATATACACTGGGATCGCCATGCTCCAGGAAAGAATCTGGAGTGGATGGGATTAATAAGGAATAATGGAGACACAAAGTACAGTTCAGCTCTCCAATCTCGAATCACCATCAGCAGGGACACTTCCAAGAGTGAAATCTTCTTAAAATTGAACAGTCTGCATACTGAAGACACAGCCATATATGACTGCGCCAGCCACACAGTGAGGTAATTTCAATTTGAGCCTACACAAAAAATACCTCCTTGTAGAGACATCTGGGACCAGCAGAGGGCAATAAGGATGAACAGGGATTCCTGAGAACCAAAAGTAATGTTCACTTCAGAGGCTAAGGCTTCATGACCTTGAGTATCAGAACCTGTGGTTTGCTCTTCCAGCAAACATATCCTGAGGTCCCTCTTCTTTGTCTTATTATATTCAACCTTCTATGTGTGCAAACATGAGATCAAAATTTTTTTACATACTCTCTAAATTATCCAGTTGCTTCTGACTAACAGAAAGAATGGCATATAATTTAATATATTCTGTGGTGTTCTCTCTGTCTTTGTTTCTCTCTCTCTCTTTGTGTGCATCTGTGTGAAATAATAATTCAAATGGAGTCTGTAATTGTGACACTTGTTGACTTAAATTCCAATGTAAAGCTTGGGAATTTTGAATATTTTGTAATTTATTCTCTTTGTTTTTGAACATGTGATGGAGAAACTGCAGCTTCTCTGTAAAATACACTTTCCAAGGGTAGATTTGAACAAGAAATATACAATATTTCCTTCTTCTAAACCAAGAAAAATTAAGAATATACTTGGTTATCATTTGTGAAAGGTTCTAATATTAAACATATGCATCTTGTTAAAAATCAGTATGCAAAGTGTTCCCGGAGGTCGCATCTTGCCCGGGTCTCCCTCGTCCCCAGCGCTCGCCCGCGTGGTCCTGCCACGGCCTTCCCGCTGCCCGCACCATGGGCCTCGGCTACGACTCCTCAGTTCGAGTTGAGTGGATTGCAGCCGTGACATTTGCTGCTGGGACAGCTGCTCTCGGTTACCTGGCTTACAAAAAGTTCTATGGTAAAGATAATCGTACCAAAGCTATGGTGAACCTCCACATCCAGAAAGACAACCCCAAGGTCGTGCATGCCTTCGACATGGAGGACCTGGGAGATAAGGCCGTGTACTGCCGCTGCTGGAGGTCCAAAAAGTTTCCATTCTGTGATGGGGCTCACATAAAACATAACGAAGAGACTGGCGACAACGTGGGACCTCTGATCATCAAGAAAAAAGAAACTTAATGGACATTTTCAGTGCTGCACCCCAGAGTGTTGTGATGTCACCTGATCGTTTAATTAGAATTAATTAATTAACGAGACACCCACTCTGTCTGATTGGCCTCCCTGGTTCTAGATGTGGTTGGTACCTCACAAATCGCAGCTTTCGTATTCATGGCTTTAGTCTTGCTGTTGGAGCATCGTGGTGCACATTTGTTGAAAGAGCATAAAAAAGAAAGGCTAAACCAACCTCATGGTATATGGGTTATTTTGGTCTTGTAAGGATCCGTTGCTTTACAGTAATGGTCTTAGAATATAGTTGTATCTGAGGTTAACATATTAAATTATTCTCAACATCATGTACATGTACATTGTACTTGTAAATTTAAAGAAAAATCACCTTTTCAGATTACTTAGTTAACTTAGAAGGTGATGGAGTATGATCAAGTTGCGTTGATTTATTACAGCATAAGGGAAACCTGCCATCACCTTGTCTGTACTTGTGGCCAAGGTGATGGCGTAGGTTCATCTTGTGTGTTTTAATGTTTTCCGTCAGAATTAACTGAATGTTATTCTCCCTAAAATCGCCCAGGTCAACAATAAAGGGGCAACAACTAAAAAAAAAATCAGTATGCACCTTAATTTTCAAGGTATTATTCTTCTGTAGGCATATTTGCATGCCCTTGATGTACAAAATTTTCAGCCACTAGTGTGCACATGCCTACTGGTATAAGCTTGATTACTGCCTCCAACTGTCACCAGCCCTTTCCATAGCATCTGAGTTCTATGAAAACTGAGTTTGTGTAGTGGGGAGTGGCAGGGCTGCATCCCACCACCCAGCTCTGGGACACCGGCTAGCTTTACCCAAAATAATTACATGGAAACTGCATTCTTTTAAACACTGCTTGGCCCATTAGCTCTAGCCTCTTACTGGCTAACTCTCACATCTTGCTTTAACACATATTTAGTAATCTGTGTAGCACCAAAAGGTGGTGGCTTACCAGGAACGATCCTAACCTCTGTCTGTCTCGGAGAGGAGAATCATGGCAACTGCTTTCACTGCCTTCTTCCTCCCAGAATTCTGTTCTGTTTACTCAGCCTACCTAATTTTCTGTCCTATCAAGGCCAAGGCAGTTTCTTTATTAATTAACCAACGAAAGCAAAAGATATACAGATGATCCTCCTCCATCAAGTTTTTTTGTGATTTGTTGATGCTTTTAGTGGTAACAAAGATTCCCAGAGTTACATGCTTCTACTAAGCACCCTTACCTATAAAGAATTCCAAATTCCCATCTACTGTTTAATCATTACCTTGTATTTCTCTTCCTGGTCCCTCTATATTGAGGAGTCCCAAATAAAAAGCACAGACTATCAAGTTCCCTCCATCTACAAAATATTATTTTTATTTAGAAAAGGAAAAAAAAAGTTTCTGCCTCCTCCCAGCCTCCCATTTCCCTCCCCCTCCTCCCACCCTTTTCTCCCTACCCCCACTCCCCTCCCCCTCCCCCCATTCCTCTTCCCCTCCCTCTCCAAAGAGCAGTCAGGGTTCCCTGCCTTGTGGAAAGTCCAAGGTCCTACCCTCTCCATCCAGGTCTAGGAAGGTGAATGTCCAAACTGGCTAGGCTCCCACCAAGCCAGAACATGAAGTAGGATCAAAACCCCATGCCATTGTCCTTGGCTTCTCATCAGGCCTCATTGTTCGCCATGATCAGAGAGTCCGGTTTTATACCATGCTTTTTCAGTCACAGGCGAGCTGGCCTTGGTGAGCTCCCAATAGATCAGCCTCACTGTCTCAGTGGGTGGGTGCACCCCTCGTGGTCCTGACATCCTTGCTCGTGTCCTCCCTCCATGCGCTCCTCATTGGGACTTTGGGAGCTCAGTCCAGTGCTCCAGTGTGGGTCTCTGTCTCTATCACCATCCATCACCAGATGAAGGTTCTATGGTGATATGGAAGATATTCGTCAGTATTGCTATAGGATAGGGTCATTTCAGGTTCCCTATCCTCAGCTTCACAAGGGGACTAACTGGGGACATCGCCTTGGGCTCCTGGGAGCCACTCTAGGTTCAAGTCTCTTGCCAACCCTAAGGTGGCTCCCTTAACTAAGATATGTGCTTCCCTGCTCCCCTATCCAACCTTCCTTTATCCCAATCTTCCTGTTTCTCCAAGTTCCCCCAATCCTCCCCTTCTCACTTTTCTCTCCCCGT